GTTTATGTTTTGATAACTGTAATTTACTAGAAACGAAAAAAAACAAAATCGATCAAAACGACATACACATTCTCTCCGTAGTAGGACGACTTAAGCCTTCAGGTTGACTTTTCCTTTAGGCTTTCGTCCGACAAATATTGGTACGCAAGTTTTCTTTTTGATCCGCTGTTTTTAATCGCCTATTTACTATTTTTGGAACTTCACATGTCACGTCTCTACTTTTCCCTCCGATCCAAAGCAGGTCTGAAGTTTGGTCGCGATAAAAGGATCTGGTGTTATGTCATGACCAACCACTGCCCTAATAGAATGTTTTCACTCACGTGGCCAGCATCTATACAAATTTATTAGAACAAAAGAAAGCATTTACAAGAGAAAAGAGTTCAATTCCCACAGGACTAGTTTGGAACATAAACATGGCCGCTGTTTTCATTGTTTTGGGGCACCATATGGCGGGCGTGACGTCATGTGAAAACGCTCTATACTTGGCTGCCGAACCAAAATGTAAAGAAAATGGCTTTCATTTTCTTCTCTTTTGCTTTTATTTTTTAATAGGGTGAAAATTCACGGTGTTCATAGCACCTGCTTAACAAAAGGACAGGTGGATAACATTTCTGGTTAGATTTGCTGGAGCAGGTCATCGCAAGAGCGAAAATCATAAAGTTGGCAATATTCAGTGGCTTGACTACAGTTAGTCAGCAATTATTGAAATCACTAGAAGTAACCCCTTTAAGGTGGCTCGATAGGGTTTTTAAACTGCCTGACTACCAATTTAACTACCAAACTGGAAGAAATACACTTGGACATGAAGTTCTCGAAATAAAAATGTTTTAGGCCTTGGCCACTAAAAAAACGTCGAACCAAAGTTCATGAAACGTTTGACTTCTGGCTCAGCTAAGTTTTCCTGAACGAATTTGTATCGTCCAACACGTTCTATCCGTCGTCTTCCGATGAATGAAACGTCTAAAAATCGTCTCCGGGCAAACGTCGATCTTCACATGCGACGAACTCAACTAATAAATTAAAAATTTGTATGATAATGCATGTTTAGCCTCGTTCGGGAGAAAATGTATCAGTTATCTGAATCAGTTGATTGGTTCGACGCGTCCTAAGTTCGACGTTTGACCCAACAGACGATCTTAACTTAATATAGGTCGACCTAAATTAGAGTTTGGTTCGTTTCACGAAAAGTTCGACGTTTGGCCTAGGACTTACATGCAAACTCAGAGTAATAGATTGAAGTTTGATATGTAGGTAGATTTTTGAACTAAGATCGGAGCGTCCATGGCAACGCGAAGTTGCCATGGGAAACTTTTGTTATTTGGTATTAATTTGCCTGGAGAAACGAACTCTTTAGAATAAGTGCTTAAAATTATGGACAAAGCTAAGCAGAATACAGGTAGCACTTTGGCCAAGTTTGGGTGATTCATTTGTTTATTTTTTTAAATGGTGCCTTTCCTTAATATTTAACCTGTCCTAGTGTTTCACATGTATGCATCGCTGCGGGGGTGCTGATGAATAGGCCGTGATCCTGTCTGTTGTTGTCGATGTCACCTCTCACAATTTACTTTTCATTCAAACGCTGTTATCGTTAGGATCTTGACAAACTCCAACCCTTCTGAACACTTTCTTCAACGCGACACGGAATTCTCGTCTACGGATGGAATAGATGATCGGGTTGCATATTGAGGTGAGGAAGAAAATGCACGATGTGCCGAGGACTGCCTCGGCTGGAACATCGATTCCAGGGACAAAATTGCGGAAAAAGCCCATAATCCAGGCTGGGAGAAAGCACACCAAAAACGCGGTGATGATGATGGAGACATCGACAGCTGCCTTCCGATCTCTTATTCGCCTCGACATTTCTTGCTGTTGATGGCTTTTAGCATCAACGTGGCTGGCCACTTGGACTTCAATGGCGTTTATCTGCCTTTTTGCCGTCTTGTATACTGACACGTTTAGAAATACAATGACCAGAAATGGCACAATAAGGGTTGCAACCGGTAAAACGACTCTAATCCACTCACTCTGCTCAGCCCATCCTTGCTCGCAAAAGTACACCTCTGGGTTGTAAACGTACTTTCCCCAACCAAGGAATGGACCGATGGAAAGTGGAATCGGGATTATCCAGATGAGAGCCATAAACGCCATTCTTGTTTTCGTAAAAATGGTGCCATCATACGTCAGAGGTGATTTAACTATGGCTTGGTATCGATCATAAGACACTGCTACCAAGTGAAGAACCGTGTTTATATAAAAGTATCTTGCAAAGAATGGGTTGAGATTGCACATTGTTCGGCCATACAACCAGCGTTCTTGCGCTATGCTTCCAATGCGGAAAGAGTTGACGATGACCAACAGCAGAAAGTCCGATAACGCGAGACTGGCCAGTAAAATATATCGCATCACATGAAACCTTGATTCGATGATAATCGTTGCTATGACCAATAAATTACCAGGGAGGCCGATCACGTCGAAAAGTGCGTGGAACGTTGCTATCACTTGAGAGAATAAGACCATGGCTGGAATTGTAGAAGTATTTAGTAATGTACTTTCATTTGCGTGAACGTTAGGGGTAAATCAACATAAACGAGTTTATGCTTTTACAACTGAACTGAATTTTATTAAAGGTTTTCTCAGACAGTACGGTGTGCGTCATTTCTTTTCTCCTGCTCGTGATGTAGACGGAAATTGGACCTATACTAGACAAATAACGTCGACGTAAATATCTGCAATTTTTCTTCTTTTTTTTTTTAATTTCCTATACAAACCTTTTTCTTTTCCGTGTTCTAGTAAATGTATCTCATATTTTTTAAATCGATTTGATTTGGCGAACTTTAACATTTTCAAACAAGAAGAAACAGAACTTTCAAAAGTTTCGGGTTAGTTTTCCCAGTATAATGGAACCTGATTCACTCAGAGTTTCCTAACACTAATCACTAAACTTTAGAGCAAAACTGCGTTCGGGGGCCTTTCGGTGCGTTTTGCAAACCCCTGCCGGATTTTCAATGGCACAAATTAGAGAAAATGGTATTCAAATTTCATTTTCGTGTTTAGGTTTCCTGCGGTATTCCAAGATGGATTTGAATTTCCCTTTTCGTTTTTCGTTTATTGTATGGCATTGGAAAACGGAATTTTATTTTGTTTTTCTACCCTATTGTAAAAAGTGGGTTTGATTTTCGTTTTTAGTGTTTCTATGTTGATACGTTCTCGTTAAAAAAACGGATTTGAATTTCGATTTTCGTTTTATTATTTTCGTATGGCATCAGAAAACGGGATTAATGTTTCGCTCGGTTACCTCTGTCATAAGAAAACAGATTTGAATTTCGTTTTTAAATGCTATAGGAAAACGAACGTAATCATTCAGTTCTTTTTCGTTGTACTTATAAAAAATACTATAAACTGCTCCTGCCCAATAAGCCCCTCCCCTGCCTCCCAGTTATAGGCTTTACCTATAAGCAAAAAAATACACCTGATTATAAGCCTAATCCTTCAAACGTATTGAACTGAATTCGATCCATTACGACGTAAAGCACCAGTAAAGCTTGTTCGAAGTTATTCCGTTTTAATTATTATGAAGTTCCCTCGGATAAGAGCCTTCTCAACCCCCTCACGAAGATGTATATTCCCACAGATGTCACGAAGATGTATATTCCCACAGGAAAACGTAAACGAAAAATTAAAATAATGCCATTTACTGATACCGTAAAGGAATTCACAAAAAACGAAAAACGAATTAAAAACGGAGTTTTCATGAACATTAATTAAGTGTTTCCATAGTTTTTGTCACGCGCTTCTTTCATCGTTTCACTTGGAAAGTAAAAACTTGCATGCAAGAATATTTTCGAATGACCTCGAGGCATTCTAACCTGTCAACTTCGTAAGTTTTAAAATCAACATTTATACCCTGTAAGCTATAACGACATTTTATATGAAAGCTTAATACTCATCAATCGAAGCTGCAGCCCCTCAAGAAAGGATTGATCATTGATGAGAATTGTAGACTCTATTCGACAGGCAGCATGAAGAATGATAAGAAGTTCTGCGTCTTACAAAATTCAATTTGTCGTATTTTCTCCGTTATTTCAAGCCACTGATAACACTATTTGGTGTTTAAAATTTAAAAATTAGCAGACACACTATTTGTCCTACGCTCTACTTTTTGCGTGAGATTGATCATGTGACTCCAAGCTGCAACGGACCTACTTTCGTTCTCATCGAAAACGCATCGATCAATTCGCGTCCACGCTACTGTTTTAATGCGTTTTCGCTTCATTAAGTCATCAATTAATATTTTTTTTTGCGATTTTACTCCTCGACAATCCTCAAATCACAAAATGAAGAAAGAGCTGATTTTACGTTTCATGACATCATTTTATTGATTCTGATGAGGAAAATCTTTCGAAAAATATATATTATAGTTACATTTATGTCAGAAGAAAAAGGCATATGCGTTCTATTTATATTTGGAAATTACGCATTGAGTAGCTAAAATGGGCGAGATGTCTATTTTTGTCTCACTAAAGAATGAAGCTTTCCGCCAAAACGTCTTGTTAGTAGCCTAAAATGAACGATATATAGGTCGACCTAAATTAGAGTTTGGTTCGTTTCACGAAAAGTTCGACGTTTGGCCTAGGACTTACATGCAAACTCAGAGTAATAGATTGAAGTTTGATATGTAGGTAGATTTTTGAACTAAGATCGGAGCGTCCATGGCAACGCGAAGTTGCCATGGGAAACTTTTGTCATTTGGTATTAATTTGCCTGGAGAAACGAACTCTTTAGAATAAGTGCTTAGAATTATGGACAAAGCTAAGCACAATACAGGTAGCACTTTGGCCAAGTTTGGGTGATTCATATGTTTATTTTTTAAAATGGTGCCTTTCCTTAATATTTAACCTGTCCTAGTGTTTCACATGCGTGCGTCGCTGCGGGGGTGCTGATGAATAGGCCGTGATCTTGTGTGTTGTTGTCGATGTCACTTCTCACAATTTACTTTTCATTCAAACGCTGTTATCGTTAGGATCTTGACAAACTCCAACCCTTCTGAACACTTTCTTCAACGCGACACGGAATTCTCGTCTACGGATGGAATAGATGATCGGGTTGCATATTGAGGTGAGGAAGAAAATGCACGATGTGCCGAGGACTGCCTCGGCTGGAACATCGATTCCAGGGACAAAATTGCGGAAAAAGCCCATAATCCAGGCTGGGAGAAAGCACACCAAAAACGCGGTGATGATGATGGAGACATCGACAGCTGCCTTCCGATCTCTTATTCGCCTCGACATTTCTTGCTGTTGATGGCTTTTAGCATCAACGTGGCTGGCCACTTGGACTTCAATGGCGTTTATCTGCCTTTTTGCCGTCTTGTATACTGACACGTTTAGAAATACAATGACCAGAAATGGCACAATAAGGGTTGCAACCGGTAAAACGACTCTAATCCACTCACTCTGCTCAGCCCATCCTTGCTCGCAAAAGTACACCTCTGGGTTGTAAACGTACTTTCCCCAACCAAGGAATGGACCGATGGAAAGTGGAATCGGGATTATCCAGATGAGAGCCATAAACGCCATTCTTGTTTTCGTAAAAATGGTGCCATCATACGTCAGAGGTGATTTAACTATGGCTTGGTATCGATCATAAGACACTGCTACCAAGTGAAGAACCGTGTTTATATAAAAGTATCTTGCAAAGAAAGGGTTGAGATTGCACATTGTTTGACCATACAACCAGCGCTCTTGCGCTATGCTTCCAATGAGGAAAGAGTTGACGATGACCAACAGCAGAAAGTCCGATAACGCGAGACTGGCCAGTAAAATATATCGCATCACATGAAACCTTGATTCGATGATAATCGTCACTATGACTAATAAATTACCGGGGAGGCCGATCACGTCGAAAAGTGCGTGGAACGTTGCTATCACTTGAGAGAATAAGACCATGGCTGGAATTGTAGAAGTATTTAGTAATGCACTGTCATTTGGGTGAAGGTTATAGGTAACTCAACATTTTTACAGCTGAACTGAATTTTATTAAAGGTTTTCTCAGACAGTACGGTGTGCGTCATTTCTTTTCTCCTGCTCGTAATGTAGACGGAAATTGGACCTATACTAGACAAATAACGTCGGCGTAAAAAGCTGCAATTTTTCTCTCTTTTTTTAATTTCCTATACAAACCTTTTTCTTTTCCGTGTTCTAGCAAATGTATCTCATATTTTTCAAATCGATTTGATTTGGCGAACTTTAACATTTTCAAACAAGAAGAAACAGAACTTTCAAAAGTTTCGGGTTAGTTTTCCCAGTATAATGGAACCTGATTCACTCAGAGTTTCCTAACACTAATCACTAAACTTTGGAGCAATACTGCGTTCGGAGGCCTTTCGGCGCGTTTTGCAAACCCCTGCCGGATTTTCAATGGCACAAATTAGAGAAAATGGTATTCAAATTTCATTTTAGTGTTTAGGTTTCCCGTGGTATTTCAAAATGGATTTGAATTTCCCTTTTCGTTTTTCGTTTATTGTATGGCATTGGAAAACGGAATATTATTGTGTTTTTCTGTGCTGTTGTAAAAAGGGGGTTTTTACGTTTTTTTCGTTTTTAGTTTTTCTATGTTGATACGTTCTTGTTAAAAAACGGATTTGAATTTCGATTTTCGTTTTATTATTTTCGTATGGCATCAGAAAACGGGATTAATGTTTCGCTCGGTTACCTCTGTTATAAGAAAACAGATTTGAATTTCGTTTTTAAATGTTATAGGAAAACGGACGTAATCTATTCAGTTCTTTTTCGTTGTACTTATAAAAAATACTATAAACTGCTCCTGCCCAATAAGCCCCTCCCCTGCCTCCCAGTAATAGGCTTTACCTATAAGCAAAATAATACACCTGATTATAAGCATAATCCTTCAAATGTATTGAAATGAATTCGATCCATTACGACGTAAAGCACCAGTAAAGCTTGTTCGAAGTTATTCCGTTTTAATTATTATGAAGTTCGCTCGCATAAGAGCCTTCTCAACCCCCTCACGAAGATGTATATTCCCACAGATGTCACGAAGATGTATATTCCCACATAAAAACGTAAACGGAAAATTAAATACTATTTTCTGATACCATAAAGGAAAAGACAAAAAACGAAAAACGAATTAAAAACGGAGTTTTCGTGAACGTAAATTAAGTGTTTCCATAGTTTTTGTCACCGCGCGCTTCTTTCATCGTTTCAGTCGCAAAGTAAAAACTTGCATGCAAGAATATTTTCGAATGACCGCGAGGCATTCCAACCTGTCAACTTCGTAGGTTTCAAAACCAACATTTATACCCTGTAAGCTATAACGACATTTCAAATGAAAGCTTAATACTCAATCCACGCTCGCAGTCCTTCAAGAAAGGATTGATCATTGATGAGAATTGTAGACTCTATTCGACAGGCAGCATGAAGAATAATAAGAAGTTCTGCGTCTTACAAAATTCAATTTAAGGTATTTTCTCCCTTATTTCAAGCCACTGATAACACTATTTGGTGTTTAAAATTGTCCTACGCTCTACTTTTTGCGTGAGATTGGTCATGTGACTTCGAGCTGCAACGCACCTACTTTCGTTGTCATCGAAAACGCATCGACCAATTCGCTTCCACGCTACTGTTTTGATGTGATTTCGCTTCATTAAGTCATCAATTAATATTTTTTTGCGATTTTATTCCTCGACAATCCTCAAATCACAAAATGAAGAAAGAGCTGATTTTACGTTTCACGACATCATTTTTTTGATTCTGATGAGGAAAATCTTTTGAAGAATACAGCTATTTCGAGAAAGGTTGTCGGAAAAAGTGCACGCGACAATCCCGAAAGGTATTGTGGGTAGTCTTGAGTTCACTGTTCTTCAAAGAAATTTGAGAGAATGGCACGAAAGGCCGTGGACATATGGTTGTGAGTGCTGAAGGAAAGTAACAAAAGTAGGTTAGACAGCTACAGTTTCAGGAGCAGTGAATTGATCGTATCCCATATTACCTTTCGGGATTGTCGCGTGCACATTTTTTACGACAACCTTCCTCGAAATAGCTGTATATATTATGGTTACATTAATGTCAGAAGAAAAAAAACCCAGGCATATGCGTTCTATTTATATTTGGAAATTACGCATTGAGTAGCTAAAATGGGCGAGATGTCTATTTTTGTCTCACTAAAGAATGAAGCTTTCCGCCAAAACGTCTTGTTAGTAGCCTAAAATGAACGAAGAGATTGTTCTTTAAAAAAATCATATGCTATTGAACAAACGACAATGTGGAGCAAAAACAAATTATAGAGAAAACACCATCTGATTTCCAACTTTTGTTTTTGTGTACTTTTTCAGTTTGAGCAGATCGCAGCTGACTCAAAAGTTCTCGACTAGTAGTCGTCTTGTATTATTTCGGCACCCATTGCTTAACCGGAAAAAAAGTACTCGTGAAAATTTCTTCTCTCAGCGAAACAAGACTGTTCTTGTTTTTAATGCTTGCTGCCCTTTTCGGCTGACAAAATGGAATTATGTCGTTAGAGTAATTGTTTTTCAAAAAAAAAACTGTTGAAAGAAGCGGTGTTTACGGAAGTGGTTTTGTTTGTAGGGTTAGCGCGTTGCGCATAAAATGCGCATTCAGTGAAGACCTTAAAGAAGAAGAAGAAGAAAAAAAAGCCCACTTGAACACCAATTCTTGTTGAGTTTCTTTTTTGTTGTTGTTGTTTTTTTTTGCTCAGCGGCCTGATTATGCTGAGAAGGCCTAACAAGGACGAAAACAGCAATCCACAAGCACCTGTTCCCGAAAAATATGATTGAGCATGCGTAAGATGCTGGCAACCGTTAGCGCTGGGTTGGTGTTCAGATGTACTTATATCCGATTTTGTTTGTGTGTTTGTTTCTGTTTTTGTTTTCATCATTTGCTCGTTGAGGAAAACAGCGAATAAAACGGCCATAATAAGTTTAGAATGGGATAATGCGAAAGACGAGTATTTCTTAAATATTGTTAGTAGTAGCAGTAGTAACCGGCCTCTTTTAATGTGGTCAAGTACACTTTGCTCATTACAGTATTGTAAGTATAGCTAATGTCCAGGTATTTCCACAAACGTAAAAAAATAATAATGAAAGAAAAAAGCTACATTTATAAATTGAGGAAAACAATAGATCGCTAAAGTTATTTCCTGGATACATCTTGCTCAAAACACCAAAAATAATGACAAAAGATGAAAACTAACAACAATGGAAATTTGGATTTCACACGGTTATCAAGCTTTTAAACGTTGATAATTTTTCTGCATCTTCCTTGCAAACCCTGCTAAACCTAATTTAGAATAAAGCCATATTTGATCCTGCTGCGCTTTTTTTTTGTAAATCTTAAGTGGGGTTTTGATTATTCTCCCTCGGCCGTTTTTGTCTTGCCGTGATTGATTTTTTTTTTCTGTAAGCCGTCCCGTTCGCCTACGTTTATTCTACTGAGATATAACAACGCTGGAGATAGCAGCTGTGGTCTTTTACAATCCACGTGACTTGATATCCACGCAACCTTCTCTATAAGCTTATATAATTTTATGAGCTGTTGCTTAGATCAGTTAGAGAGTGTTAGAGAGCAATGGATCGAGAAGTAAACAAAACGTTTAACACTTGTAAAATTAAAAAACATCTTGGAGAGAGAAGTATAAAAGCCTAGTCGAATACACACTTCATTAGATCGATTCTTTTGCAGGAAGTGTTCAAAGAAACCGTGTTTACGGAAATCAGGTTTCGTTCGTAGGATCAACACCTGTCACGTTCAAATTTTGGGGGACAAATCGCAGTTTTTCATTTCATCCGCCGCATAATCATTTCAGTCATTAAAGAAATATTAAACAAATAATAAAAATAAAGAAGGCACACCGGAGCACTTCCACTTTTGTCTTTTATCTGAGCAGTTTACTATGCTGAGAGTACCCTTGAAGGACGAAACAGCTGTCCATGACCACCAGTTCACAGGTAATATCACTACTCATGCGTGAAGTACTGTCACCACGCGCAGTGATTGTTCAAAGGGATTTGACAAGCCAAATAAAAACGAAATTTAAAGTAAAAATAAAATTTTTCGACTTAATAGACCAATCAAGTCCTTGTCGAAACGTCAGTCACTGTCAACAACAGTCCTGTTGAGGTCTACACTCACCCGCACGATCATATTCCATCTACTAATAGTCTACTATAGTCTCCTAGACTATAACAGAACTTCTTCCGTTACAGAAATGCTACAGTCATTAGATTTAGATCTTTTAGAGGATAGACGTAAAGCCCATCGATTGAATATATTTTATTTAGCAGTTAATAATTCGATTGCACTGCCTAGTTATACCTAATTATTTTTTACCTAAACAGCGTTTTACTACATCATTTTCTAATGATTCATGTATTCAAGCCAACTGCAATCATGATTATTACTTTTTATAGTTTCTTTCCAAGGACAATAAGGGACTGAAACACCCTACCAAGTGGCATTCGTATTAGTACAAATTTTTCATTTTTTAAAGATCACCGTTTCTCAGCTGTTAGAAATGATTGATGGCTGTCATTTATTTATCTTTTATTATTATTATTTATCTTATTTCTTTGTATATAAATATATTTTATATTTATTAAAAAATAATTTTATTTTTTATTTGTATTTTTATTTAATCTTTACTCTATTATTGTATTTCTGATATGGTAATTTATTTAATTTATATTGACTCGATGCGAAAGAGTTGTCAGTTAATAAATGTAGATGTAGATGTAATAAAGTGACTCCTGGGTTCGAACCTTTCACTGGAAAAAGGAATGCGATTAATACTTAAGTTGAAATAGATGAACGTAAGGCAACAGACAAGCTTTCTCATACAATTTTTTCTTCAGCAAAAAAATTTGAAAAAAAAAAGGATGACAAAAAAACGAACATTTATACTACTAGTCCAGATG